AAAAAAATAATTTTTTTAACTTCAATTAGGAAAACAGATGAAAACAGAATTCAGAAATGTACTAAAGGCMAAATGTGMTTTATTTCAGACCACAAATACATACAGACTCTGAAAATACTGTTACTTAAAAACTAAAAATGGTTTTCTTTGGAAGAGAGGGAGGGAAATCACATTTGGGAAGGCTGATCTTTTATTTGGAAAACATATGTGGGCTGTTGAGTASCACAAATGCTGATCAGTTATTTCCATATCTACCCCATCCTGCCTTGAGGACACCCCTAAATACAAAGTGTTTCCAAGAGGGAAGGGTTCTGTTTGGCCACATGCATTGTTTTATATGGTTAAAATGAAAAGAGATATGGAATAAATAATAAGAAATTAGATTCTCACTTAAATAAGATTAATAAATGGAAGAAATTCCAGGGGCTAATGATTGCACATGTAAAAATATTAAATCTTACCCTCATCAAAAAAAAATTAATCAGGGTACACACCCCCAAATCCAAGTTACTCAGGAGGCTGARGCAGGAAAATCCGAAGTTCAGGGCCAGGTCTGGCAATTCAGTGAGACACCATGTCAAAATAAGAGGGCTGGGAATGTAGCTCAGTGAAAGGTACTGGGTTTAATATCCAGTATGGGGCATCAGGGCAGGGTGAGGAAGAAAAGAAAAAGAAAAATTCATATATTTAAATAATGAGGTCAGAAAAGAAGCCAAAATCAGAAGTTAAACTATAGATCAACATAGAAACAAAGCAGGAAATAAAACAAGCAACATAAGCAAAAATTAGAGACTAAAAACAAAATGAAAATGTGCACTGTGGCCAGGGCAAGGAATTCCCGTTGTTTAAAAAAAAAAAAAAACAACTCAAGATTCTTTTTTTAGCTTACTATTACTGGGACCTTGTATGAGAAATGCATCATTGTTGCAGTTTCCAAATRTATGTGCCCATAACTTTCATTTCTTCTTCACAAGCTCCTAACCCAACAGTCCCATCCCTGCTTTCCCTCTCTATAGTAGAGGAGCAGCCATTCTTAAAAGATATCTTTGGCACAAGGGGTAAATGGGCTTTCTCAGGGGCATGAACAATTTCTGGCTCTGAAAGTTCCACTCTTTTCTCACTCGTGGAATAAAATGTTATTGTCAATCAAAAATCATTCGTAAAGAAGCTATGCTAGGGAAGAAAAAAGAGAGAGAGAGAGAAACGTGTCACAGTAGATTGGGTAGAAAGAGGTGACTGGAGGGGAGGGGAGGGGAGGGGAGGGGAGGGGGGATAGGAAGGGCAGCACAATACAGTAGACACTAGTATGGCCTATGTATAAACGTGGCTGTATAACCAAATCTGTACACGAGGAAAAATAAGATTACGTACCCCATTTGAATCAAATGTATATGTCAGGATCATTGTAATGTTTTGAGCAACTAATAAAAAAAAAATTAAAAAAAAGAAGCTATGTTAGCCCCATGCGAATATTTCACCTGTCACAAGACAACTCATAATGAACTGAGCAGGGAGTAGGCCGRCTCCAGAACTCACCGGCTGGTCCTAATTGTCTGTGACCCTTCTCTTGAGYATTTCCTACTTGAAATTTCTCTTTCCAAGGCACCCCCTTGTCTCTCCTTTTAATATTTCTTACTTTTTTGGTGGTAGAATGCAACTAACTGGCTCTGTGCTTTATTTCATTTAATCAGTAGGTGCTTTAATAGCCACCATTCTACATGCAATAAACTCAGGCTCAGAGAGACTAAGACAGCTGCCTGAAGTCCCACAGCTACCAAAATTCTAGTCTAACCCAAGGTTTGGCAGCCAGGCTTTCTGGATGTTTTTCTCCCACTGCACCTCTACACAGGTCCCCAAAACTCTGTCCTTAGCTCTCATCAGTTGACTCTGTGGATGATCATGTTCACTATTTTCAGGCATCAGCTCTGTGGAATGACTTTTAACCCCACTCCTTTCCCTTGCTGCAGAGCTGCACCAGTTTGCTGGGCTTCTCCAACATCTCCATGGGCCTGATGTTGTCAGTCATGAGGGGAGATGACAGAATTCCCAGGACTGAAGCACAAAGATCACATAATTGCAATGGGAGGTGTTTAGGCAGCAGAGAAGGTTGGAGAGGAGACTCAGTCCTGTAGGAAAAAAATGACCTCCCCACACTGATTAAATCAGATATTAGATATAGTTCATTGCTATCAGCACAGGTGTCCTGATGACTAACGGCCTAAAGAGCATAACCATGTAAAACCACCCCAGGGGCACTCAGTCTCTGCCAATCTCTCCCAGAACTGGCAAGGGACCCTGTGAAGGTTAAGTACATTTTGGTTCTATTAAAAATATTTCTATTTGTCTTTAGAAAGTGCTGAAAGTGATTTTAAACTCTCCCGCAGAAACCAGTATTTGTAAAGCAAATTCTTCAATTAAACACATATCCTTGCAGTTAGTTCCACAGGCGTAGTTGCTCACCTTTTTGTAATGTTTGTTTTCTTTCCACCACCATGAAATTGGTACAGGCAATGATAACTTGAAGTGAGTAACAAATCAAGCACTATATCCTGATAMACTTCAGAAGGAAAAGCCTGAACCACTTTCATTCACATGAATGTACTCGTGTGGTATGCACTTATCTTCTCTATTGATAATGTATGTAAAGCATTTTACCTTAAACGGCTTTATAGTAATTTACATTCCTGTTTTGCAGGTTTGAATCTGGTTCTCTAGAAAGATTTTTAAGTTAGAATACAAGCTGGGCATGGTGACTCACGCCTCTAATCCCAGCAGCTCAGGAGGCTGAGGTAGGAGGGTTGCAAGTTCAAGGCCAGCCTCAGCAATTTAGAGAGGCCGTGTTTCAAAATTTTTTTTTTTTTAAGAGAGAGTGAGAGAGGAGAGAGAGAGAATTTTTAATATTTATTTTTTAGTTCTCGGCGGACACAACATCTTTGTTGGCATGTGGTACTGGGGATCGAACCCGGGCCGCACGCATGCCAGGCGAGCGCGCTACCGCTGAGCCACATCTCCAGCCCCCATGTGTTTCAAAATTTTAAAAAAATAAAATAAAAAGGGATTGGGGTGTGGCTCAGTGGTAAAGTGCCCCTGGGTTAAATCCCTGTAACAAACAAACAAACAAACAAAAAAAGGAGTTAGAATACAGATGGTTATTAAATTTTAAAATTTAGATAATTTTTAAACCTGTTATAGGCCGAGCTTGAAATGACCCAGTGGAGGAACATACAGTACTATGGCCTGATTATCTTATATACAGGGGCTACTCCCAGTTCTGCAGGTTACTGAGCCCTTGTGACCACAACTCTCAATGGACACCTGGGCTGCTTCACTCTAGAGTAAGGATGAGGGAATTTCAAGATTTGTCTAGCTATACTCAACATTTCTTTATTTCTTAAACTTTAGAGGTACACAAACTGGGAGGAATGAGCTTGTTTTCTGGGTCAAGGTGCTGGAGTGGAGTCTAGCAGTTTGCAGCCAGATCCCTTTTAGATTCTTTATCTGTTGTGCCTGAATACCAGACTGGGTGGCAGTAAGTTTAYTGACTGTTCTGTCAGGATGCTGGTGGACTCAGTGTTTGGTAAGGGCCAAACAAAAGCCCCACYCTGAATTACCTTCACACTGGGCATTAGATTTCAACAGGATTTTGGAGGGAGGTATAACATGGTCTACTCTTTCTCTTCATATTTGAGATATGATTTCCAGCGAAGGGTATTRTTTCTCACGGGCTAGTGGTAAAACAGGCCTGGGAATGCCACMAGCTCCAGAAAAGCCTGCCCTGGACTTTGGGTGCAGCTTAGTTGATTTCCCAGTTAGGTCTCCAGCAGCAACATTATCCAAGTCCTCTTGGATTTATCGTTCCTGGTCACAGGAGTGGTAAGATCTCAGAGGTTGAGTTGAAGTTATAAGCCCAGGGGAGAGGGGCCAAAGGGACCACTGGGTTTTTCTTATCAAGTGCCAGTGATAAGAATTTTTTTAAAAAAATAACTTTATTTTGTTTACTTTTATGTGGTGCAAGTGCTTTGCTACTGAGCCACAACCACAGCCCTAGTGATTCTTATAGTAGAACAGGAAGTTCAAGCCCCTCCCAGAATAACTATCTCTACGGGCGGGGCCCAGGCATCTATAGTTTCTAAGAAGTTCTCCAGGTGATTCTAACATACAACCAATGTAGAAAAGTCCTACTTTAAGTTACAGGACTGCTTACAGCACGAATAAAAGAAAGATTTCAAAATCAATACTTGACAGAATCCTTCTAGTAATTCTGATGTGAATGGTGGACCATGTTAGATTACTTATAAAAATATAAAAGGAGAGAGTAAGCAAAAAAGTACACTTGAGAATGATTTGATTGTATTCAAATTTTTATTTTTTGAACAAAAAACTTAAGACAACGATTTTAAATAATAAAACATGTATATTCTAKACACTTATTGGGTTTTTTTTAAAAGACAGTTATTAAATTTGGACTCCTACAGTTCTGTTGTGATGCTTTCTCCAACATTTGTATTATTTTTTTACCATTTTATCTGCACTCCAAAATTGCTAAACAAAGAATCAACTCTGCTAACGTGGAGTATTCCACTGCCACACAGAATACATTTATAGAACAGTCATTTTTATATTTACAAGACACAAGAAGTTTGTCCAGCCATTTTGGTTTTGTTGTTACTCTGCCCATACTGAGATCAGCAAAAAAGCTACGTAAAAGCAAGATTTCACTTCAGCAGTGCAAAGGATGGCATCAACCAAACTTCATAAAACACACCAACAAATGACAAACATGGTCAAGCAAAGCTCATCTACGAGTGATTGAAAAAATAAAGTAGTGGGTCACAACTAGACTGGTTTTCACTGTGCAACTTTCCTTAGGGAACAAAATTACTCATTTCACATAAAGAAAGGAAAATGCATCCAAGCCTTTGTTCGCAAAGAAAATGCCCTTCAAACAAACTCATCATAAGGCAAAAAAAAAAAAAAAAAAAAAAGGCAGTTTGGCCCAGAGAAAAATTTCAATAAAATGTGTATGTAGAATATACACATTTATAGATATATTGCAATTTAATGTGTATAGTTATTAGACAATTAAATGAGTTGGCTCAGTAAAGTGAAGTTTCTATAAATACGTAGTTATTGCTAATATGCTACTTTTTATGCTTTGACAYGGAACCTGTAGTAACTTAGAATTCGAAGCTGCCACATTGCCAGTGTTAGCCCTGCAGTAGGCATCATATAGACAATATGCCACCCAATCCTGAAGAAAAGCAGACCACCACTACCAAAATAATAATAATAATAATAAAAAGGCTTATGCACTGTCCCTTATATTTTTAAACAAAAACAAGTCCAGTTCACCACAAGTTAAGAACAACCTGACAAGCAAGTTTAGCTGCATGACTGGGAGAGAAGAGTGAAGTACAGCATGCATTCACAACTAGCACTGATCTAGTCTATTTTGTCATACAAACTGGAATACAAAAATCCAATTTAAATAAGACTAGACTATCATAGTAAAAAAAAAAAAAAACACACAGTAGACTTAGTTTGATACTGATTGAGTTTAAGAGTAAAACTCATCCTGTCCCCTCTTAATTAATACTCTACTGCAATTTATTTATTGATGGCTAGAATATTTACTTACTTAAAAAAGATATTAAATACCTGTATCATGAAATTACATTCTTATTAACAATAAGACATACTGTGTAAGAAAATAGCTCATGTGTGAAATGTATCTGAAATGCATTTTTCCTGACAACTATCAAAACATCCACTCATACTAAAACAAAATCACCCCAACACCCCCCCCCTGAAAAAAAAGTTAAGGAAAGATGGGGTGGGCCCAGCAAGGAGCAGGGAAGGAAAGATTCAGCTATACTAATTACAGCACAGTGATTAACAATGGTTCAAGACAGAACCAACAAGAGTTGGTCAAAAAGATGCCTTCAATACATGGCTACAATTAAAAACCAAACTCAGCCCCTTTTGGTTCATTGCAGTGAGACCAAAAAAAAAAAAAAAAAACAAAAAAACAAAAAACTCTCACAGATTCCATATAAATACTAGACTCCAGCTCTTTTATTATAATTATTTTTTAAAAGTTTTCCCATTTGTTTCTGTAAGGCCTAGCTACCTTATTACAATTTATATTTGCTCTGCAACAACTACAAGAGGTAGGCATAAAGCATGAAAAAGTTTCTCAGTTAGTACCTCACCATGGGTGGTTCACTGCATGACACCATTCACTTAAGATGTGAAAGCTCATGGCCTTCCTAAACCCTCAACAACGCTGCCATCTGCTCATCCATGAGCTGAGAGAGAGGACTCAAATAAGAAACTTTCTCTACTGAAGGATACTGTCATAGTGTCTGTTGCAGAGCATTCATATACATATATGTGTGTGTATATATATATTTATATATATTTATTTGTTTAAAAAAATAAACAACAAAAAACAAACCAAGGTTCCTAGAACCAATTCTCTTGATTCTCTACTTCCACAAAATAAAGAGTACCATTTGGCCAAGACTACAGATGTGTTTTTTTTTCTTTTTTCTTTTTCACAGATGCAAGTGCCATGCAAAATAAATTAAAGAATAGATACCAAAACATACATGTGATAAAACTACTGAAGGTAGATCTTTAAAAGCATTTATATAAACATAATTTATAATACTTCTCTTTTTTCTTTTATATACAGTCACAAAGCCATAGTTATACATCTAGGATTTCCTCTGCTGTACCTCCACAGCGCAACCTATAGCGACCAGTTCTCCAGCTTATAGTAGGGTCCCATAATGCCGACAAAAAAATGTATATTGTCATGGATTCTCGGATGAACCAAGCAACTGCATAATCAAGTTTTGAAAAACACAGTGTGCCACCCTAGGAATTAGAAAAGAAAAACCAATACATAAACTAATTTCCTCATTGTCAGACTAAAGACACAGTTTTAAAATGAAATTTCTAAGTATATGACATAAAATCAAATCTGTTTCATTAGGTAATTTAACTGCCATGCAATACCATTTAAGAAAATGCTGATTATCAGTAAAAGCAGCATTAAAATAACTACTACCCCACTATATGCTTAGTTTCAATATTTACTGATTTTCTTATCATGATTTTTTTTTTCTGGAACTTAATAAAAGTAATTGTATAACCATCGGAAAGTTGCAAATCAAGTTAAATYTTGCGTCAAAACATTCCACTAGGGAAAGTAATGTTTAAACCTGTTATTAAACTTCACGGAGAAGCTGAAGAATGGCGCTTAGATAGATTTCCTTCAACCTTTTCTAGATTGAAATAGTTTTAGTTCTACCAAATGAATCGTAACTTTTTCATGCCTGTCCACATACCTGGACACCCCTGAGTTGAATGTAGTCAAATATAAACCATGCCAGGCAATGACACATGAAAAATACCATAATGTCCCATCTGAATACATGGTGGGCAGCCCATCCGATAATTAAACTGGCAACAAAGCATTCTGAAATTGGCTCACAAATAATTGTAGCAGGAAGCATGTTAATTCGCAATTTGGTCCACCTAAAAAAATAAAAAGGATTTTCTCTAAGACAACAGGCTAGAGACAAAAACTAGTCAATTATATTTCCCAAAATAATCAACTTTTCACCCTGTCATATAAAAGCTTTCTTCTTTATAAAAAGTTTTGTGTGAGGGGAGGGTATTTGGTTTTGTTGTTGTTGTTTGTATTTATGAATCTCTATTTAGTATATCAAAGAGAAAACTATAACTTCATTTGCATGGCCTACACTTTGATGAATACAGATTATAAAGTTTAATCAAAGTACTGAAAGTTAGACAACAGAAATCAGCATATAAAAAAAATTCAAAGTTTCAACATCTTTTTTAAATATTTCAGTGTTATACTGGGCATGGTGGTGCATGCCTGTAATCCTAGCAGCTCGGAAGGCTGAGGCAGGAGGACTGCAAGTTCAAAGCCGGCCTCAGCAACTTAGTGATGCACTAAGCATCACGTAGAGCTCACAGAGAACCACTCTAAATAAAATATAAAAAAGGGCTGAGGACGTGTAATCGCCAGTACCACCCTCCCCCACACACAGATACCAAAATTCAGTGTTACACAGTAAAAAAATTATATTTAGATTCAATTTATTTTAATAAAGAACCTAAGCCTATTTTCTGGAAGCAAACAAAAATCTCTCACTTTCTGCCTTTCTTTTAATAAAGTATAATAAGACAACAGTTGATTTACCTGATCATTCTGGATTGAAACTGAGAAATTGAATATGAACCAGAGTTTTGCATTGCAACTTGAGTGGACATTGCAAATCTCCAACCTCTGAAAATGAAGATAATTATAAAATGAACCAGGATGATGAACACATGCAAGCTTGACTGGGTATGCATTCATTAATCACCATAAGAGTGAGCAACTGCTGGCATTCAGGGCGAGCCCAGCCCTCAGGATTAGCACACTACTCACGGATGTTTGAGCAATTACGTCGGCCCAAGAGAGCACCATCTACAAACTAGAAGAAACTATAGCCCTCTTATTTCACAGTGTAAGATAACATAAAGGGCAGTCATTTGGAAAGTACTTAATGGAGAAGGCTCTGTATTTGATAGTTTAGTCCCTGACCACTACTTCCTGCCTTCCCCAAAAAGGCATGTCTGTATTCAAGAAGAAATATAAACAAAATGTGGCATTATATATCTCATGGGAGACACTAGGAGACTTTGAACCACATGAACACCATTGTGAGAGAATTTTTAAAAAACACTTCAATTTTAAAAACCACATTTTAAATAAACTATCATGCAAAGCAGTGATGTCCTTTAAACAAACAAGCCTTTTGTGATATAGAAATGCTAAGTCAATCATATGAACCATTAGAGCCTTCTTAGCAAATCATCAAACAATCTGCTAAGAAATTTCAAATGCTGAACTGATATTTTAAGCCTAATGGCTTATGATTACACTGATAGCTTAAATTCTTTTAAAAGAAATTTAATTGAAATTCCTATCTATACTAGTGAAAATGCACAATCACAGAGAAGCTTCCTGTTCACCACTTCAACTGTACTAATTTGAAAATAGAGAAATCAGAACATGTATTTGGCTTCATTAGTACATATCTACGAATAACTAATATAGATGCTTTGCCAAAATTATTAACATATCTTGTACTCAATGACAAAAGATAAAATAGCTCTAATCCATGATTTGAACAGAAACAGTAAACCAACAAAAGTTAGGTACTAAAAGTAGTACAGCTTAATTTAGCTTTCTTACCGGTCAGCTATTGCTTTAGCCATAAAGTAATCTTCAGCAATGTACTGAGCAAAAGCTATAAGTCCTCCTGCTTGATCTAACACATCCTTTCTCATTAAACAAGACATGCCTGTCACACATTTGAAACCAGTTACATTGGCAGAGATATAGGACCTTGGATGTGAAGTTCCAAAATACACCTGTCCAGAAAAACACAAATATATATGATTAGAACTTGACATTAAAAATATGGTGTTCATAAACTTTTTTTCCTAAGGATTTTCTCTGATTAAGTGAATATMCTATCATTTTTAAACTACCTGAATACAAAGCAGGATATGAGTATTTACATTTAGTAGATGATAAGTATTTTATTTGGTTGATTAGTTTTGTTACCACTATTACAAAGAAATCTTTACTTCTAGAGGGAAAAGCATATCTTAAATACTGTCTTCTAAAACTGAGACTCAAAAATTTATCCAAATAAAACTTAATCTGGATATTAAATCAAACAGGTACAATGTTATTAACTGGCATATAAGTATTAATAGTTACTTAATGTATCATGTTTTTAGGATGTTTAAAAAAACCTACACGTCTTCTTGTTTTATTTGATCAGTGTATCTATACATATGTTTCCATGCACACATGTACAGGTATGTGTGGGTATATACATACAGAATTCTACGTATACACACATCATCTATAGTTGCATGCATACAGGTACAGGTGCATGTGTGTATATACATGCAAGTCTCCTGGTGCCAGGGTATGATCAGTCCAAAAGTAGGTAACACCAGTATATACAAGTCTGAATGTATATACATGCATTATCTATAGTTTTATCAACCTTCAGGACAGTCCTACTTCCTAATTCCTTTTCTGGCAACCTTTCATTGCTAGCTACTTTCTGTCCTGAATCAATGAGATTCTTCCCAATTTCTACAATTTTGCTTTTCACTGTACTTTTCACAAATAAGGTGGATACTAACATTCTGTCTTCTACATCTTACTGCCCGTTCTCTACATAGGCTTTCTTGGTACACACTCTAAGCCCAGAGCATACTGAAGCCATGGTGTAAGACTGAATCAAACCTAACTTCTGAGACCAGAGGCACACATCTTAATCCTTTAACCAGTGAGGTTTTAGGGCTAAGTGGAGCTTGGGACTGGGTTGAAGATTTCTTTTACAGTCCAGAAGGACTTCTCTGACTGATCTTCACTCATTCTAACTATGGCAGAGTGACTTTTATGGATTACACCTACATAGAGAGTAGATGTGTTCTGGGAAATGTTTATCACTGACATATACATCAACTTGGATATTTCTTAAATGAAAGTACAATATGGCATAAAAGAATATACAGTATTTTAATTTAACACAGCTACACACCGAGTTTCTCTTACTAACCAAAAAAGCTCAGGAATTTAAAACTAACAACCTCTTGCAGTAGGAGAAACATTCATAGGCAATATTAAGAAAAAGATCATGGCTCAAGTTGCCAAAGGTCAAATGCAAGTTCTGACAATGTACCTTTACCCCTTCAGATCTGCAGCTATCATAACACTGCAATTCAAATACTATAAATGCAGATATATTTAAAGACTGAAACCATGTAACCTTCTGTATAACATGAAGATAAGTTTTTCTTCCTAAATGTTTACTGGTAGAGGAATTTACATATGATAGACTATGATACAGGTAATAAAATTACCTTTATAAAAGATAATTAAGTTATTCAGATGGAAAAGACCTATATAAAGTGACAAATAAAATGAAAATTACTTTTAGAATACTATCAACTTTGTTGTTTAAAAGGCACATAGAAAAAAATTAGAATTCAAAGTACTAAAATGTTAAAATGAAAACAAACTTTAATTTTGAAAAATATTTCCTCTAATTAGTTGAGTGATAAACTGTTTGTTGTTATTGTTTGTTTACTACTTCAACTTTTCTATAGTTTACAGTTGCCTACACACAAGTTAAWATTTCTTTTATAAGTTGGAAAAAAGGGCCTGGGAATTTAGCTCAGTGGTAGAGTACTTGCCTAGCACACAAGGCCCTGGGTGTGATCTCCCACACCAAATGCAAACAAAAAGTTGAAGCAAAATAGGGTAAATCAAATGGATTGTATAAGGACTTGTACAAACACCTTTTTTGTATATATGAAATACTTCATGATATGTAAAAAAGGATTTTTCAGTTTGAATCTTTGAAAGATTCTTTTATGTAAATCAATAGTCTAGAACAACTTGGAACTAGGTGAGGATCATAAGAAGAATATACTGTGTTCAGCTGGCAGAAGGAACACAGGGCATTTCCCGGGCACAGCTCCTGGTGCCAGGGTATGGTTAGTCCAACAGGAAGTAACCCTAAGGGCTAAAGAAACAGCTACTCTCACCTTGAGGATTCTAGTTCTCAGCAGGTTCCCAAGTAGATGAAACTTCAGGTAGCCAATTCTAACTCTCAGAACAATCTCAAGCTTCTAGGAGATTAGTGATCTAATAACCAATATTATTTATAACCACCATACTTACCTGTTCTAACGTGGCGGCAAAGCCCTGTCTGTCAGCTACATAAGGCAGCCCATGAACCAAGCCTACTTTTTCTGTCATTTGATTAACCATGTCAGTTAGTGTGTCTGGAATTACTAAAATTAAAAAATAAATAAATAAATAAATAAAGATGAGGAGAAGGGAGAGAAAAAGTTACTTTTTAGTAAAATGCTCATTAACGTAAAATAACTCTTATGAATTGTTATTACATTAAAATAAAACTTAAACATTCGGATTTAATAAGATTAATCAATCACTTTTCTAAGAGCAGGACACAAAATTTTGAAAAGGCATACTTTATCATAATTTCCTCTACACATATTCAGTCCAGTATATATCTAATACATATCACACTCTAGGAATACTTTGCAAATGTTCCCCTACTCCAAAAGGAATAAGGATGGCAATGTGTTCTATGGAAAAGATTCTGGAGGAGGTCAAAGGACTGTAGTTTTTGTCTCTACTCTCCAACCCATAAGAAGTGGGACCTCACCCTTTCTCAGTGTTATTTGTACCTGATCTCTTAGAACTGCTAATGGGAATGGAGTAAGAGTATATTTAACCAAGATTTGTACTTTGAAAGGCATAACAAAAATATGAGTTAATAACATAAGATGGCAAATGTGAAGAATGAGTGGAAGAAGTTGAAAGAATGAACATAAGGACTCGACCAGGTGTTGACAGGTTTGTAATGATCCTGAAATTTGTAGGAGTATCGCATGTGTTAATTTTCAAATTTGCATTTAAGCTAATAAAAAATGTAAGTCTTTGCCCTATTTTCAAATAGCAAACATCTAATTTTTCATGACCTTAAATGTTTCCTTCTARTGTTTTAGAACTAAACCTACTATATATAAAACAAAATTGTGCTTGGACCTTAAACAAGAGGTCAGTGTTCTCTACCAGGAGCAATTCTTCACCACAGGGGAYTCTTGACAATGTCTGGAGACATTTTGGGTTCTTCCAGCTGAGAAGTGGGTTCAGGGGGCATTTAGTGGGTTCAGGCCAGGTATGCTGATAAAACATCCCACAGGACAGACCCCACAACAAAAATTACTAGGCCTAAAATGTCAATAGTGTTGAGGTTGAGAAACATAAGGTAATTAGAATATGGCAAAATATTGTAGTAACTAATGTAAGTATGAGTGTTTAAAAGTGCAAATTATAATTTCAGTATATAAAAGGCTTCTTGCTAAAATCATCTAAGAACACATGGACAAACCCTAATAAGTGTATTCTAGTACAACATGCACTTAGTGGATTTCTGTCCCTTTGTGTGAGATAGTGCATTATGCAAACCATGACAGATTGAAGCAGAAGATATGCCTCACACAAACAAGTGAGAACTACACACAAGAAAGTTTGTTGATTGTATAATGAACTGTAACCACTTTTTTTAATGGTTGGAATTTTCTCTTCAAAATGAAAACACTTTAATGTGTATAATATTCTGGGTTAGGATAAGAAAAAAATCAAAATCTTAGTAAGTATAATAACTGAACATACTATCATGAGATAATGATGAAATAAATTATTAGGCAAACAAAAAGGACTGATCAATTTAGTTTGATTTTTTTTTAATCATTAAATGAATAGTTTTATAAAATAAATAAGAAAACCTCACCTCTTATTCCACTATCACAAATCCATATAAGATCATACTTTGCAACTTCATATCCTGGCATTAAATTATTAATTTTAGGATTAATGCCAACCTTTTTGCCACCTAAGAATGTAAAGGTACAACAGTAAAAAAAAATTATAATACTGAAAATATTTTTATTATAAAGAAAGATGGTAGAGAGAAGTTAAAAGTATTTTCATATTTAATAATTTAAGCAAACATACTTCTACATTTTTTACATTTTCTATTACTCATAATATCTAAAAGAAATGTTTCATTTTCAAAAGGAAAATTATATCACTTAGCTTTGAAGATTCACTGTTTTAGTTTARTTCTTAAATTATTACATTAATAATATGAATCAATATTTAGTAGCAACTGTACAACATGATAACTATGGTTAAAATAACAAAGTGTTGAATATTGGAAAATTACCAGGAGTAGATTTCTCACCACAAATAAACAAGAATGTGAAGTAGTTCATAGGYTGATTAGTTTGATCTAGCCATTCCCCAAAGTATACATACTTCAAAAYATCATATTATATACCATAAATGCATATAAATTTCTGTCAATTTAAAAAAGTGATAATAAGAAACAAAAGCTTTAAGACTCATTTTGAAGCTGTTAAAACAGCATAGAGAAACTGACCATTAGGATGAAACAGTGAAATAGAATGGAATCAGACCTATGTTTAAAAATTTWWWWAAAAATTAATGGTAAATATACTTCTACTAGCCTCAAGAATAAGCCTATAGGCTTTTGCAAAAAATATTCATTTTGCAATATAATAAAAATGATTTGTTTTGCTTACTTCCAATTTCAGTCAATGATACCCAGAAAGGGTTACACAATGAAAATATTGCCAAAAGAACATAAGTGTCTGGTGAGTAAAATATCATTTTTTTTTTGGTATGTTATGTAAATCACAGGTTTTGGGGAAAAAAAAAAAACCAAAATCCTTTGTTTTGATAACTTTTCTCAAAGGAATGTAAACATCTTTCACTCCTCAAAACACATGCTTAGAGCAAACATGCTAATAACATCACTGGGTGGCAAATACATAATCTATAGTTTAATGCAGAAAAGACTAAGAATATTAACAAAACAAAATGGTTGGTGTAGAATTAATTTGTTGCTTACCTATAAATAATCTAGCATCAACATTTGGATATTTTCCAAGTAGCTTCTTACATACATCAATGGCTGGATCATCATGATCTTGTACACAAAGGAGTACTTCATACTAGTCAAAGAAGATGTTTTATATAAATTAACCTCTTCAAAAATAAGCAGTTATTGATAGCATTTACAAATGATCAAAAGCATAAGAAAAACAATCAWATATACAAAGTTTACAAGTTAATAGAGTATTTGCAAACACTGATGGTAACGAGTGTTGCTTAAATGGAGGGAAGATCATCCAAGACAGGGACCTWTTTGCAAGCTGAAGGAATAGGGCAGAGGCTGGCAGTGCCCAAGGTTGAGGTCTTGCCCATTCCCAGACAGGCAGGCTCTAGTGGGTAAACTGGCTTTTCCAGGGCCTTCGTCACTGAAGGCTAAATGCTCACAGGGCACCAGCAGAATAAAAAGCAACATTGAAAGGAAGCAATATAAATACATCCTCTATCCTCTGGAAGCTTTGTCTTGAAACTCAATATTATTTCATAAAGGTGCTATAAATTACAAGTAAAAGCCCATTATGATACACTTAAAGGACAAAATGAGATGAGATCTTTTTTATTATATAATTTTTTTGAAATAAAATAGTTTTATTTGATTGAACATTTACTATCATGAAAAATCATGCTTTGCCAGCTTTATAMCTATGAAAATACTCAGGATTTCATTTTGCTCAGTGCTACGTTTAGTCAGAAAGTCGTTTCTTCACACTTGAATGGCTGTGTCAAAATTACCCTAGGACATTTTTTTTAAAAAAGAGGATTGGGTCCTATTCTTAGACTTCTGAATCAGAAGCTCTGGGGGGTGATTCTGATGCGTAGCCAGGTTCATAACATCTTGAGCTGAAATTCTCAGTTACCAATTAGTAAACTACTAAATGTGAAAAGTACTTGCTCTCACATATAAAGATGTTTATTTTGTGGGATATATATTCTAAGTATAATATTACCATAAGTGGTGATAAAGTCATGCTGACTCAACAACAAATTTCCTACCAGATTCTCTTTCTAAAACAGGTTGAACATTTTTAAGCACAGAAAGGAAGCTAATTATGTCCRTGAAAAAAATTACAAAGCTGTGTGTTCTAAAAAACAAAAAGAGCTACGGACATAACATTTTAAGTGTCTAATACACAGGAACTAACTTGGATTAGACATATAGGAAGGACTATTTTATTTAAGTCTATTGATTATTTAAGACTATTGATAAGCATACACAAGTAAAAAGTGGAAATGAAATGTTCACAGTACTGTTGAGCATAATGATTAATCACCACTTGCTAAGTACACCTTATTTCACCAAAGGTTGGYAATAAAGAAATTTGCAGGGCTCAGGATGTGGCTCAGCCTGAGTGCTTCCCTATAAGAACAATGTCATGGGTTCAATCTTCASTACTGTGGGGCTTAAGCCCAGAAAGACCAGGACTAAGGTCAGTGAAGAAGGTTTAGCTAATATATATATATTTTTTAAGGGACGTACAGCTGAACTGTATTTAGATGCAAGGTTTAAAGTTTTAAATTTTTATTGATGACAYCTCTTAGGCTTAATTCCAAAATATAAACAAATACCTTCCGATTAGCCAGAGTGCAAATGAAACTCAATATCACATTATCCAAAAAATGTTCAGACTCTTAAGACACATAGCTTTTGTATATGTTTCTGATATTAAAAATGACACCAAATTGGAGGAAGCATTCCAAGTGTTTTCTAAAGTATCAAATTTTAATGAGGACTCTTTGCTTTTCAGCTATGATAACCACCCCTTTGTCTTCAGTTTATTTGATTTGCTAGAAATCTCTGTATTAAAATAGTTAAATCATTCTAACTACACTGTAACTGACACAAGATATTAAATTGGTGAGAGGCTTTTTAGCTCATACAAAAATAACTTTCAAGTATTTTTACACGCTCTAAAGGATTAGGTATAAATATATATGTTAAAAAACAGTGTCTATTAAAAAACACTTTTAAGGTGTTTCAAGAAAACATTTACTTTATACATCTGCAAGGGATCTAAGAAAATAGATTCTACTTTAAATAGATACTGTTTGAATACATGAACTCTAGACTTAAAACTCCAAACAAGGCATAAGGTTATTTTCCATTAAGTCTTTAGTAAGACTGCTATGCAAATAGCCAAACAAAGTAATTCCCCCCCCACCCCGTTTTCTTTAAAAACAGTGAAATGACTAAAAAGCTGAGAACAAGATAGGCATAAAAAAGTCCACAAGCAAGAACATCCAGTCTTTTATTGTTTAAGAACTGAATATATAAAATTGCAATAATGATGACTTTTTTGCATTTATGAATATATTAAGCTGCATAAGTAACAGATTTAAATGTACAAATATTTTAAAAATCCCATTGATTCAGTCTTGTTGACATTAGAAAAGTAAAGGTTTTACTGTAATAAACAGGATAAAATATCTCTTTAAAATAGAAGTTTTGTGGTTTTTTGTTCGTTTGTTTTTTGTTTTTTTCCAGTGCTGGGGATTAAATCCAGGACCTTGTGCAGGTTAACCATATGTTCCACCACTGAACTACACCTCCGGTCCTAAAAAATGTTTTCATGCATGGATCAATTAATTGAATTATCAAGTAGAAATACCTTGAAATAGCTTAAGTTATTATTTACAAATAACTACTTCTCACATCATATTTACAATTTTGTAGTATTTGGGTTACAATAGAACATGGATCCTATGACAGAAGGTACTTTAACCCCAAATGCCTAGAACATTTACTGGCACAGAGTCAGTGGTGAATAGATTTGTTAAAACATTTGTCTGGGGTAACTTCTAAACAAAAGAAAGATGCCAGAAAGAAGATGTTTTATAAGAAAACTGCTCCAAATTCAAAGTTTTGACAGGTAAGGTTGAATATTTGTTATCTAGTCTCAAAAAACAGATTGTTGATACAGTTTTTCAAATTCATTCGATAACTTCTTCATCTTTCAGACTTCATTTTACTACATGTATTAACAACACTTGTACTTGAGCTTTCAACTGATCCTATTTTTAAGTCTTTTTTTAAAATATTTTTTTAGTTATACATGGACACAATATCTTTATTTTGTTTATTTATTTTTATGTGGTGCTGAGGATTGAACCCAGGGTCTCTCATGTGGGAGGCGAGTGCTCTACCATTAAGACATAACCCCAGCCTCTATTTTAAAGTCTTTTAATTCTTTGTTAGATGACTATTGCATTAGAAAAATATTCCTCATAAGGATAACTGCACCACCGACAATGAGGAATCTAAAACATAGCTCTGAACTTGTAACATTTTAAACCAATTCTACATTTGCAAAAGAGAGAGAGAAGAAAAAAAGTCCAATTACCATAGCTATATTGTTAAAAACTGACCATTAATTTTAAAAGTGTTTACATGGCTGAAGTGAAGCTAGCAAGCCACTTTAGATGCATAATGCTGAATCCTTCTGCTACTGCTGGATCTCCCCCAAACCTCTCCTATGCTGATGCCAAATGAGCATTCAATTTTGCAGAAAATGAATTGTATCATTTTTTTTTTCATTTTTGTGTCTTCTAAAGAATGTGCATTAACATGAAGGTGGATTTATAAGACATTTCAAGCACAGAAATCTTTCAGGGCAATTAGTATAATCTTACCAAATTGAAACCTAGAAATTCAGAACAAATACCACTAATAAATATTCTTGCAAACGCCCAAAATTAAATAAAAAATTAAAACTTCAACATATGTTCTACCCTTTTTCCCCAAAATGGCCCATGAGGTTCCAAATCAAATAGCAGAGGAAAAACTTATGTCCAGAAGGAAGATATTTCCATACTTTTGTAAAATGACCTTCACACTCAACAAAAAGCAAACACTAAAGTGTGCTGGGCCTGGCCGTCATGTGACTGTTTATTTTGTGATTACTTGCCTCCGGTGACACAAACATTGCATCTGTTCACACTCAGAATTGTGATTTCAGTGGTCTAATTTATTACTGCAAATGTTTCACTACAGAGAGAACAAGTAAAACGCTTGACCAAGCACAGTAGTACCTAATTCACATGCACTTTGCACTTTTCCTCTGGTTTCCAAATATTCTATTTACACAGCTTTTATAATTATAAAATAAACTTGTTTGCCTTAGAATAGGAATAATCTTCTGCATATGCTGGTTCTCATTTCATAAAGAGCACTAAAATAGTTTTCTCTTCAACTAACTCAAATACCTCAATGATATACTGCAAATGGTAAAAGACCTAAGTGAAACTAGAGCTTGAAATAATCCTGAATTATAACATTTTTTTAAAATTTCATTCAGAAGAAATCAATTACAGATTCACCCCAAGTGTTCATAATTAATGGAACATATGTTCCCAGGGTTATTTTTAAGAACACGTTCTATAACTAAAGGCTGCACAAACTTCCTCAACTATTTAAATCCCATGACTTATCACCTCAGAAAGGCTGCAACATAAAAATTAAATAACCAAGGCTTAAAAGTGATTGAAGCAAAGCAGTCAAATCAATGTTGGTTGAGGCARCATTTCATGTATAGATCAGAGGTGACTTTGCACAAAACATAATCTTGTTTTTAAGCCTGGAATTGAAAGGTTACTAGAATTCTAGAATTCAAACTCCTTTATTTACACTTGAACATGGTCTTAGTTATTAAGTGACCTGCAGAGAGACAACTACAGTAATTTAACAAACTTAGTATTTATTCTGGGCATTTTATGATTCAGTGAATTGGAGCAAACCACTTATCCTCTCTGTACCTTGGTTTGCTAATCTGTCAAATAATATTATCATTTGCTTACAGGACTGTATCATATGTAATGGTTGGGAAGGAGCTTTTGGCCATGTGAAGGCAAGGTAGTACTATATTTGGTCAAAACCTTTTTCAAAACTGAACAATTTCTAGGAAGCAAAGCAAGAAAAGAATGAAAACACTATATCACGACATATCCCACTATTATGTATAATTATGCATCAATTAAACAATTGCAATGCATGGAAAAAAAAGAGTGACTGAATGTGGAGGAGGGTGGGATGACTGAATGGGGAAAGGATAAGATGATGGTTAAGAAAGTAAAATATGAGATCACATTCCACATCAATAAAGGTATATGATTTGTAATTCTAAGCTTTGCCCTAATACTTATTCATAATGAATGAAAATATTTCATTCAGAAAAATAGATTTTCCTTTGCATTTACTTATATAATGTGGGTCTTGAAAACTTCCATTTTTCTTCTTGTAAAAGTTACTTTGTTATTCATTTAATCTTATTTCTATCACTTTCCAAATTGTAATTTATAATTAACCTTATTTCTACCATTTTCCAATTTGCATCTCTAGTCAGAGGGGGAAAAATATAATTATCTTATTTTTTGAAAATGACATATTTATTTGACTATATAATATACACATATAATTCAAATCTCTAAATTCTTTAATATAAATACACAATAGGCCAGAAGAAAATTTTGCTTTAATTAGTTCTCAATACATAAATCTAAAACTCACAAAGTGATAATATAAAAATAACACTAAAAAACCTGAATGATACTCATGTCCCCATACTTACTAAGAACTATATTAAGGCTACCATAACTGTGTCTTTGCTATTCTTTTCATTGGTGCTGCACCAAGAAAAATAAGGGCTAAAAGAAAGAGCATGAACACTGATCCCCCTGAGAAGTGTGGTATGTTCATCATCATCTGATAGTGCAGATTATAGAGTACTAAAGAAACAGCAGGGAAGAGCCTCCAAGCAGCAAAAATAACTAAAAAAAAAAAAACAAAAAAAAAAACTGAGGAAATGGTAAAAAATCGAGGCGAGTGAGTATTGACAAAGGGAAAATTAAGCTGTACTGAAAAATCAAGCATGTAGAAATTTAAAGACACTTTGTTCTTACAAGTAATCTACACCCTTTGAAAAGCAGTGTCTCAAATAGGCTATTAATTGATTATGTTTTTATTTGTTCTTTTTAGTTATACACGACAGTAGAATATATTTTGACATGTCACATGGAGTATAACTTCCCATTCTTGTGGTTTACATTATTTGGAGTTACAATGGTCATTATTCACATAAGAACATAGGAAAGTTTTGTCCCATTCATTCTACTGTCTTTCCTGTTCCCATCCCCCTTCTCTTCCCTTCATTTCCCTTTGTCTAATTCCATGAACTTCTATTCTTCCTCCACTTATTGTATGTTAACATCTGCATATGAAAGAGAACATTCTGCCTTTCSTATTTTTGCGATTGGTTTATTTCACTTAGCTCAAATAGGCAATTTATAAACCTTCAGTAAAGCTAAATATGAAAATTCAACATGTATTAAGTTTTCCTAAAAAACTCAAAGTGAATACTAAAAGGAATCTATAAAAATATTACAATCTATCTTAAGAAAACTGGAAGTTCTCCAAAGAAGGGACACACTGAGTTGTAGATGCAGAGTATATAGGTAAGTGGTATGAGCAATACAATTAAGCATTAAAAATCAGAATAAAGAAATTAAAAATTAGGTAAGATGAGACCTCTGCTTGCCACTAATCATATCCCCTTCTAGGCTAAAAGCCAGTTTCTCAAGGGGATTCATGTTAGTCCTAKCTGTCTTCATTCCATTTCAGACCACTACACCCTGTTTCTCACTCACATCCTCCTCTTCCTTCTGTTTTCATATGAATCTCACGGAACAAGAATTTTTTGGGGGGCGGAGGTGGGAGGTACCAGTGATTTAAACCAAGGGGCACTCGGCYACTGAGCCACATCCCCAGCCCTATTTTGTATTTTATTTAGAGACAGAGTCTCACTGAGTTGCTTAGCGCCTTGCCATTGCTGAGGCTGGCTTTGAACTTGAGATCCTCCTGTCTCAACCTCCCAAGCTGGGGATAACAGGTGTCCGCCACCATGCCCAGCTGGAACAAGATTTTTATACTCATACCACCAGCACCTGACCATGTCATAAGTTCCAGGAGGGTCACTACTTTAGATGGACATACAGGTGCTTAAGACAAGGAATTTACACSCCTTGGTCATCCCTACCGCTGTCCTGTGACAACTACTACTGAAGCTTAAATGTTATGAGTCCAACATCATGGTGAATTTTCAAATCTTTCACTGTATGCAGTGTGAAAATTCCTAAGTGTTTATGAGAGAAGAATAAACACATGGTCCAGCCCATTTCTAGTGAGTACAGTGTTGTACTTACTTTGGGATAATCCAATTCAAAGAATGTTTCCAAGTTGTTGATGAGGTTAGGATCTACCCCTTTCAGTGGTTTCAGAAGAGAGACACCTGGAAGCTTGCTATATGGCTGTTTGTCTGTCGCCTTCTTATTGAGGTGTAATCGRCTGTAAAGCAAATGACACGTAATTTATTTCTAGAGAATATATTAGTGTCAAATCAAAATAAAGCACATAGCAAACTATCAATAAATTACTAAATCCTAAAATGAGATTTTTAAAAGCTGACAYCTTTCCAAAAAAGAAGACCTGAAAATGAAGAAAGTAGAACCAATTAAGCTTTTGGTTTAGGAAAAAYAGAACTAAGCAGAACAAATGTTCCAATGAAGAACTCAGACGACTCTCTGTTTATTGTTGTGTTCTTGGTGCTTAAGAATTATGCTGGGCATAGAGGAATGACATGGTGAAGAAATGAGTGACAGTGATAGCCCACATGTTATTGCTCTTCCTCTTGAACTGCCATCAAGGTGGGCAAAGAACTATAGGTAAAATAAATACCAGGTAAAATAAAATTCATTATCTATGCCAGAAAAATATGAAACAAGAAAGTTTTGAGAAAATTATAAACAGTCCAGATAATAYATAATTGAAAGGAACGTCAAACATCTTAAGGGGAAGAAGAAAATGGGAAAATGACTTTTGATACTAATAAGCTCAGAGTGGCAGGAGTAGAATAAGGGAAGTTGAAAATAGGAGAAAAATTCTCAATGAGAAAAATGTCTGTTAACCACACTGGAAGATATGCCAGTGTCAAGGTGACCAAGGTACTCACTAAAGGTGCTTCAGCACAGGGCCTTTGCTGAAAAAAATCCCTGCCAAAAAATCCCTGCTGTCGAAACAAAAGATGCCACATGAGACAGRGTGGTGAGGTTTCTAAAGCAGAACACTAAAGACTTCCTCTCTGCTTCTCATAAGTACATTGCAAGTACTTCTCAAAAGGAAGTCTCCAAGTGTTAACAGWAACTAGATGCTAGAGCAATCACGGGTCCCCTGCAAGATATTCTCAGACACAGTTTCCCACATTTTACTGTGTCTAAAATTAATGGCATCTTATAATTACTGCCAACCAGATGGTAGTCCTGACAGAATTGTGAAAAACAATAATAAGACCTTTGAGAAGATTAGTAAAACAAAACAAAACAACCCCCCCATACACACACCTAGTATCAATGCATCTTTTAATCAAAGAATTACACTATGACCCTATGAATGACTTGGAAGCACAGCAGGACGAGCAGCCAGCTGCAAGCTCACTCCCACCTATTTAAGGCGAGGATGTGCTATGATAAACACCTCATGTTTCAGAAATGGCCAYGGAAACATCTTTACAGGAAGAAAACAGGCTACATACAATGGAACCATTTTTAATTGGTAAGAAATGCATAGAACACGGTGGTGTTAATTTCTGATCCACAACATCAAACACCAGAAAATACRGAACATCCTTTACAGCAGTGCTATTCAGAGTGTGCTCTGGTCCACCAGCTGCCTTTCGCTGGTCTGCAATGAGAAGAAACTAACAGAAAGCAACTTACAACAATTTATTTTTACTGTAGTTTGGCAAACTTATCTGTTCACGGCAGTCTGGAAAATATAAGAATGAATCTTTTGCCACAGACAGTGTGGAAACCACTCATCTCCAGAGTGCACCTAGAGGGCCACACAGAGGCAAAATTAGGATCTATGGAGCTGGAATACCACAGAAATCACCCTTTGCCCATTTCCAATAAAACAGCAGACCAGCTGTCTGGAAAAACCTACCCGATACAGGAATTTGGATGGCTGAGGGGTAAAAAGTTCGTATCACACATTTTGATTGATTAAATCAGTAACATGTTCATATGGTTGAAATCACTAAAAATATGAAATGTTCTCCTAAAAGAAGTCTCCCCGTCACCCTTACCCCATCTGCCCCATTCTAATCATTACTTACTTCCCTTGGGGTTATTAGTTTTTTACTCATCCTTCCAGAGATTTAAAAAATGTGTATAGAAGCCAAAACATACATACAAACTGTGTGTACGTATGCATGTACGTGTGAACAAAACATAATTTTCTCCCCTCCCTTTAAATTCAAACATGTTAAAAATAAAGCATGTTTTAAAATATATGATTGAACGGTTAGGAAAATATTTAAAAGGCCTCCTATGTCAGAAACAAGAACTTTTCAGTGAATATGTGCCGAGACCAATGCTCACCTCCAGGCCATCTGCTGGTCCTGGGTGACCTAGAGATGGAGACAAGCCTGACATAAGAATGACAGGCAATCTGTTCTGAAAGCCTGGTATAAATCTAGCATCCCTGAAAGGCAAGGCAGAAAARGCCTGGCCCTAAGAGGAAGCCGGGGATGCTGCTTATCTTAGATTCAGTCCTAAGTGTTATAAAATAAAAGGAAAAGTCTTTTTGGAAAACACCCCATCATGTGGGTTTGGGGCCCAGAATGCAAAGTATCTGTGTTGCCTGAATAAAACTCAAGAGAAGGAATGAGAAACCATCAACTAGGACCACGAAGCTATGAAAAGAACCACGCAATACCTAAAAAGGAAAGTTGTCTCGTTGACATTAGGAATTCAATGGACAGGTTAAGACAGAAGTTCACATACACCCAGTGTAAGAGAGAACTAGAACCTAGATCTGTAGCAATCACCCAAAATGCATCACAGAGAGACGAAGAGGCAAACACACAGAGAATCATGAAAAAGTTTAGGAGTGGACAACAGAACTCTGAAATCTCATTAGTTTTTATCCATTTTCCCCATTATGTGACCATTAAATAATAAGAAACTGTCTCAAAACACTTACATTAAGTGCTGACCAATTTATAGTGAAACCCAGCCCACTGATAATTCCATTGCATTTGGCAGACATTAAATTAAGAACAGAACAGCAACAAGGGCCATTTAAACTACTCAGCACTCTTACAGTTTTCAATTTGTGAAAATGTTGAGAGTGAATCCTATTTTCCTCTTCTTCTTCCTTGTCTTAAAATATTTTACTTCAAATATTAACATAGATGCACCTGCTATCCTTTTAAGAGCTTTTCATATTGAGAATGCAGTATTTTATCATAAACTCATTCTGACTCTCCAAATAACAGTGAAAGCTTGTGGGCAAAGAGAACTGATAAGTAGTATATCTGAAATTTCTAATCAAAAATAGTTACAGGTCAGACTATATGGCAGAACCCTCAAGATTCTCATCTGCAATCGCTCTTTAGTAGGATTTTCTTTCATAGCCCAAGGGGTGAGCTTGTCATGTACCCCCCCTAGGATATAAGATTCTACTTTGCAGAATACTGTTTTGACTTATGAAATAAACTGACAGAGGCCCATAATACAAATTACATAAAATGTTTACCAAAATAATGAAAGAATACCCATTAAATCACAAAGCATGTGATTTTGATTAAATCACAAAACTTGCATGGTGTTTGGCATATAGTGATGCTCCACGTTATTTAGAGTTCACTTAGTGAAAAATCTATTTTGAGCCCGTTCAACATTATCCTATAGACTGGAGATACAGTGAAGAAGAGGCAAATTATCTACAGTCAGCAAGTTGTGGTTTAATGAGGGGAGTTGCACAAATTCTTATAAAATTCTTATGGATGACAAGAAAGCTATGGTCTGGAGCAAGGATGTAGTAACTCTGCCTGCCACACACAGAAACGAGACCTTGGCCATGATCAGTGTGTTGTAAATCAACCTACAGCTGTATGTTTCAAATTGTGATCAGCAGCCCATTTATACTTTTCTCAAAAGTGGTCTGGGGTGGAGTCCTCCAAGTGGGCCATTTTTGATTGACTGATTGATTGATTGATTGTTTTGTAGTGGGGATTGAACCTAGGGGGGCTTTACCACAGAGCTACATTCCCAGGTCCCCCACCACCACCACCACCTTTTTAATTTTTTTTTTTTTTTTTTAATCTTGAGACAGTCTTGCTAAGTTGCCGAGGCTGGCCTCACACTTGTGATGCTCCTGTCTCAGCCTCCTGAGTTGCTTAGATTACAGGCATGCACCACTGTGCCTGGCTCACTTGAGCCAGTTTCATGAGTGTTTCTGACAAAGTACTGCAAAGTTTACTGGTTTTGAGCCAGTTTTTATTTCAGTATCTCAGATCAGGACTTCCGCATTAGGTACAGTATGAACTTGAGCCTAAGGCTCCTACACGTTGACAGAGTTTTTCCTGGTTACCCGTTTCCACTCTCAGGCTAGCACAGATGACTTGCTTTCTGCTAGGATTGTAGGCACACACTGCTCTCTTGACCTTTTTATTAAGGGGTACTTTCTTATTGAAGTACAACACAGGTAAATTTACAGTCTGAAGAATTTCCCAAGGTAAAACTCCCTGTAACCTGAACCCATATCATGAAAAGAAAGTCTCACCAAAACCCCCAAAGTTCATGCATGTCCACCTTTACGGACTCCCTCCTCTCCAAGGTAATTGCTATCCTGACCAACAGCAGATTAATATTGCCTGATCAAATTTTATATAAATGGAATCCCTTTAGATATACTCTTTGTGTCTGGCTTCTTTTGCCTAACAGCATCTCTGTGAGATTTATCCACATTATTACATTCAGCTAAAATTTATTCATGCTCAATACAATGTAGTATTCCTTGTACTGATATGCCTAACTTTATCTACTTTTGGTTAGTGGACAGTTGGGCTGTTCACAGTTTGGAGCTAATAAAAACAGTATGCAGACTTGTGTGCTTACACAAATACTGCACAAATATTAAAAAACAAGGCCCCCTTCTTCCAGACTTCAACTTTTGGACAAGATGATAGATTAGAGACTAGATTACTCTTCCACTTGAAGCAACAAAAAAACAGAAAAAAATCAGGTAAAATATAGGGAAGGATGGCTTTGAGATACTGGACGTTAGATAGAAGAGCACATTCTGGAGACTGAGGGAGGATGAGCTCTACAACTTACCCTGTTTACTGCTTCAGGCCATTTCCAGGCCACGGTGCAGGAAAGGGGAACCCAGGCAGAGTCCAGCGGACTCTACCACTCAGAGGGGATGGTACTGAGTCCAGAAAAACATTCAGCACCCAACACAAAGTGAAATCCGAAACACGTGGCATCTAATAAAAAATTGCC